AAACATGAAACACTCCTTTAAAAAAAACCAAAGTAAAATATAAGCAGCTGGCAGGCATACATAAACTAAAGGGTGATCTCCAAAGCTGAACAGTTCAGCAGTCTTGATTGCAGATTTTATCAAATTTATATCACCATCCATCACAAACACTGGCTCTGGGCACTTACAATTAAATAACACACACACACACACAGTGTGTGTGTGTGTGTGTGTGTGTGTGTGTAATAAACTAAAACAATCATTAAAAGATATAAAAACCAAAGGCATAGGAGGATGCATATGACGGAGCCATTTTCTACTGGGCCCTCCAGGCTTGATGACAAATTGTATAAAGGATGACAAAATAGTCAAGTTGACAGCTACAAAAATGCAATTAAAGTCCTTGTCCTTTTCTATATAGGTTAAATACACCATGCATGTAAAGATGGGTGGGGCTTTGATTGCATGATTAAGGCCACCATTTTTTTTGTTGACGCAGACACAGACACAGACACACACACAGACACAGACACACACACAACTGCCTCTGAGTAGGAAGCTCTTATTTGTTTATTTATTTATTTATTTAGTTTGTAAAACATGTACAAGATAACAAGTATAAGTGTAAACATGGTCATGAAAAAAGGAAATGAGTACAAATAAATGGGGACAGTAGGATAGGGACAGTAGGCATGCTGGTGCGCTTAAAGCATGCCCCCTTTATGGACCTCTTAGGAATGGGGTGAGGTCCACGATAGACAGTTTAAGGTTGAAGCTGTGGTGGTTTGTGGATATAACAACAGAGTCAGGTAGAGTATTCCAAGCGTTGACCACTCTGTTGCTAAAGTCATATTTTCTGCAATTGAGTTTGGAGCAATTTACCTTGAGTTTGTATCTATTGTTTGCCCCTGTATTATTGAGGTTGAAGTTGTAGTCGTTGACAGGTAGGACATTGTAGCAGACAATTTTGTGTACTATGCTTAGGTTAGACCGTAAGTGGTATGGTTCCAGGTTGTCCAAGGCCAAAATTTCAAGCCTGACTGCATAAGGGATTCTATTGTGAGCAGAGGAGTGGAATACTCTTCTTGTGAAATACTTCTGGACCTGCTCAATTGTATTAATGTCTGATAAACAGTGTGGATTCCAAGCAGAGCTGTATTCGAGAATTGATCCGGCAAAGATTTTGTATTCCCCAGTTAGCAGTACTATTTTGCTGGAGAAGAAGCTTCACAAAATTAGGTTAACAACTCTTAATGCCTTTTTGGCAATGCTATTACAGTGAGCTCTGGGGCTTAGATAGTTGGAGATGAGTTTGATCAGGATGTGATTATATTGTCCCTTTGCTCAGCCTGAGCACGGAACTCACCACAACCAACTCGCTGTGATCAATTCATTATAGCCAACTCACCATGGCCAACTTGCTGCAGGACAACTTGCCACGGCCAACTTGCCACAGGATAACTTGGCTGTGGCAAGCTGGCCATGGTGAGTTGTCATAGACTCACCTGGGCATGCTTTGATCTTTCCATATAATAGAATGGGAGAGAGTCAAACATTTATATTTAAAAATGGCAATCTACAACAATTAAATAGTAGGTAGAAAAATAATCCCCTCTACATGGATTTTGAAATTATTTCTGCAAGGTATATCAGCTGTCCATCTTCAGTCTATATTCTTAATATTACTGCTGTAATAACTTGAATTAATCTTTTCCTGATGCCTTTAAAAGCAACACCATGCAACTGCATTATTTTTGAAATGCTGTAATTGTATTATTGAAATACAATAACCAACATTATTATTTATTGAAATACAAAGTACAACTTTATTGCCTAATGCCCCTTTTACTGGTTTAATTATTGTAAACTGGCTTGAACATGTCATGTTGGCAATGTTCCTATTTTCTCAAGCCTGCTTGCTGTCTATAGGCGATGAGAGATTGTTCCAACATATCCTAAGGTCTCTAGGATGGGAAAGACTAAATTACACGTTAGGACAGGACAAATCAAATCCATACAAATTCTTAAAGATATTGTGAAAGGATTGATTTATCCCTCTCATTAATATATTCCACTTTGAATACATACACAACTGATTAATTAGACGAATATTGTTTTCTATTACACAGCTATTCTGCAGCTACTCAGTAAAGCATTCACACTGGCAAATGAATAACAAGGAGTGTCTCTTTCACATCAGTATTATGAAATACTTTCTGCATGAAATGAATTTATGATATGGTATATTCCACACTCTTTCAATTAAGCTTTTTATTTTAAACAAATATTATGGAAGTCCTTTAACTCACCCCATACTTAATAATGATTATTACGCACCTAGGAACTAACAGTATGTTATTAGCATAGCAATCTAATATAAGCTAAACTGTGATCCATTATATTTTATTAAAACTGAAATAATTCAG